TGGAGAACCGGGGTGGACATGAGGGTGCACTATGCCCACCTTGGATAGCTACTCGCTGTGGTTTGTGGTCTTATAGAGAAACCAGCAAGAGAAAAAAGGGTTTGGGTGAGGAATTCTCAACACTCAACACTTGTCTCTAAGTGCCACGCCTATTTCAATTAAGCTGTTTCCAGCGGCGCTTGGTACTTTGCAGAAACCTTAGAAAGGCGACAACTCGTCCACAAATGGGCGGGAAAGCTCTTTGATCACGCTTCCTTTCCTGAAGTCCCCCTGTTTTCGTCGCCCGTCCTCCCGCGTGGTAGATCAAACGTCATCACTACCGTAGTTTCTGAGCCCTCAGCCAGGAAAAACAGTGAAGCCCATCCCATTTCGTCCATTCATTATTTCATATTCAGCTTGTCACCATTACTACGCACTCAGCTCACCTGCATTTAAAGCTTATTTAATGGCAGGGCGTTTTTAAAGTTATTGTTTTTGCCGTGCATTTTATTTCATTCACATAATATATAGAGTAATAACTATAGTAGAAAAAGTTAGGTTAATGTTGTTTATTTTTGCTGATGACAAGTATCAGTAGCGTTAGGTACGTGTCGTTGTTCAGAGTTGCATAGGTTGTTGAACCATGTATGTCATTGTGTTACATTAGGTGTAATAATGTTTGTGTGTGAATGTATATTGAGCCTAAGCCTATGAAGGAGAGCTTGTAAAGTTTTTGTTTTTGAAAAAAATATTATTATGCTTTGTTGTTTACGATGTTGATCAATTCATTTTGAATGCGCCACGTATTCAACTTCTTTTCAGAATCGTCGAGGTATTTGGGAGGGTTGGGCTATCTTCAAAATTCAGCGATATGTGAATGTGGGCAGATAAAGTATGCCACAGCAAAAATTTGGGTGCTAACTTAGTTGGGTGGGGGAAACCACGCGGCGGCGCGACACTTTGTCCTTCTTTCTATTCAAGGCAGTCCGCGGTGCTACTGAATTTTGAAACTGCCACGGTGCGGCGAAATAGTAACGGCCCCTGTGAAAGCCCTAGAGTTGTTCACGACGCCGCGTGGTCTCCCCATCCCCCCAACTAAGTTAGCACCGAAGTTTGGAGTTGATGTGTAAAAGCGCTCAGTAATGAAGGTGGAGGTGCGGAGTGGACTGAAAGTGTAAATAAAGCTAAAGGAACTAAAGAAAATGCTCAAACTACGGGATTTGCTGGATTTTTGTACGGTAGGCGGTATGACGGAGAAGCATAGTGCGCAAAGAAGCAAGAGTGCGCGAAAGAGCGCGCCGTCCGAGGGGGCACAGATAGCGGTGGCTGCACGGAAGGCAATAAGTGTATCACTATGAACACTAATCGGGGTATTGACAAGGCCATAGGGCCCATATGTTCTCTGTTTAGAGTCGTATGGGCCGCGCTTTGGTAACCTTCGAAAAGAGCTTTTTCCCACCCACCAATTGAATTATTCCGCTGGTCTAATCACATGGCGTGCCTTTAATTCAGCAACTTTATGATTGCCGACCTTGTTTTGTTTATTGTCTG